CCCCTCCGCCTCTCCCCCGTCCCTCTTCCCCCTCCCCCCGTCCCCTCTCCAGGCAGCTGTTCACAACCATCAGCGTCTGCATACGTGCTGCTTTCCCATAAGTGAGGCCACCGTGTCCTGTTCGCTCAGCAGTGTGTCTTCAGGGTCGTTTGGGTGGAGCCCAGCACTTGGTGTCTCTCTCTGACTAATGTTCTGTGTGACTAACGGGTTCTGTGTAACCCATTGTCTGTGGACGGGGACCTGGGTGGTGTCCTCTTGTTGTAAGGAGTGCTGCGGGGTCCTGCGTTCAGCCTTCACTCTGGGTCACGAGGCCGTTCTGGGTTCCCTTTCTGAGGACCCTCCAGACTTCCCCGCAGTGTCAGCACCGTTTACGTTACAGTTCCTCCACACCCGCCAGTTGTTGCATTCTTGGTTTTTATTCATGTTTTAACATCTACCAGTCTGATATTGTTCAAGTGGGATCTCGTGGCTTTGGTGTGCGTGTCTGTAATGACCAAGGAGGTGACACAGGACTGCAGCTCTGGGTTCACACGTGCCGGAGACAAGGATGTCACAGGATAGGACAGGGCTCAGGTCCCTATCCAGAGGGTTGCTACGAGTTGTACTCAAGTCAGTGGCACCTAACAACAACAATGGCTGAATCCACACATCGCTCACTAACCAAAGGGTTTTTGAGGCTTTACTTATTCTTTTTCTTTCTTTTTTGAGGCTTTAGTTCTTAACGGCAGCTGTCTGCCCATCTTGACCCCACTGAGCAAGTGCTGGCCTTGAAGTGATGACCTTTTTGTTAGCAGCAACACCTAACCCACCAGGGCTTCTTCCCAACGGCCAAAGAGCACAGCAGTTTGTTTTGGGAGAAGTGCATCCGAATGCTCCTTGGAAGCATTGCTGGCCTTCAGTGAGCTGTCCGGTCTGAACTGGCCCTCGCTGACTCCCCAGCAGGTTTCAAAGGCTGTTGGACACGTGACGAGTCGATTGCTCATATTTCTCCCTGTGAACAGCTGGTGGTTTTGAACTCTCTGCTTCTGGGTTGGCAGTGCATTTCCTTACCCACTAGGCCACCAGAGCTCCCCTTAGAAGTGACAATGGTGACACTCTGTCTCACCATGTTCTCAGGAGGGTCCAGTCTCTGGAGACGGACCTCGTGCTTGAGAGGGTCGAGACGACCCTCCACAGGGCGGGCTGACGCATGAGCGCAGCATGGACGTGAGCCCCGCGGAGGTGGTGAGGACGGCGGGCTGTGAGTCAGCGACGCCGGACGGCGGCGTGGCTGGCCGCCTTGCATCCTGTCCTGTTTGCTGGCCGTTTGGAGAGTCCCGTAGGCAAAGGGCCTGTCGTTTGCCCGTTCTTTAACTAGGTTGTGCACTGGGGGTGTTGTGTGTCTGTTCAGGTTCTCAGGAGCTTTCTCGCAGGCTCTAGGTGGTCTTTTCACTTTGTGGATAAAGCCCTTTACTGGACAAAGCATTATGTCTGGAGTCCTCTCAGTCCCTTCGTCTTCGGCTGCTGGAACTTTGCTCCTGTCTGACAGCCTGAGCCCTGCGTTTCTTCTAAGAATGCCATGGTCTTAGTTTTCCTATTTCGGCCTGTGGTTCATTTTTATTGACTTGTGTGCCGTGTGAGGTCTGGATGTTCATTTGTTGCTCTGCCTGGAGACCTTCATTTTCCCGGCAGCATGGATGAGGACCCTCTTCCTTCACAGTACTGCAGAAAACCAGCAACTGTACACGCACACACTTTGAGTTCTTTCTCGCTGGTCTAGATGTCTTTTATGCCTGTTGTTGTTGTTATGTGCCATCCAGTCACCTGTGACTCATAGCGACCCTGTGTACAACAGCCCTAAACCCTGCTCTGTCCTGTGCCAGTCTCACTGTCTCTGACACACTCACCCCAATTACCCCAGTGACTGAATCAATCCACCTCATCGAGGGTCTTCCTCTCCAGCGCTGTCCCTCCACCCTCCCAAGCATGACGTCCCTCTCCAAGGACTGGTCCCTCCTTGCAGCATGTCCCAAGTATGTCAGACGAAGCCTCAGAATCCTTACCTCCAAGGAGCAGCCTGGTTTCACCCTCTCCAGGGTGAACTTGTTTGGTTTGTTCTCTAAGCAGTCCATGGTATAGTCGATACTCTTCTCCAGCACCTCAGCTCAAAGGCATCAATTCTCCTTCTATCGTCCCTAGTCATTACCCGGCTTTCTGATGCATAGCAAGTGATTGCAAAGACCATGGCCTGTATCAGGCACACCCTAGTCTCCAGACTGACATCATTGCTCTTCAGTACTTTGGAGAGGTCTCTGACAACACTTTCCAAGTGCAGTTCATCTTTTTATTTCCTGGTTGCTGGTACCAAGTGTGTTGATTGTAGAGCCGAGCAAACCGAAGCTGTGAACAATCTCAATGTCTTCTCCAGTGCCACTCCATTTTAATAACCGTGGCTTTGTAGTATACTTTTGGAATTAGGAGATGGGAGCCCCTCTGCTTTATTAAGTTGCCATTCGGCATTGGGTGTAGTTCTGACGGCACAGCGGGGTAAGTGTTGGGTTGCTAACCAAAAGATGGATGGTTTGACTCCCCTGGCACCTCTGCAGGAGAAAGGTGAAGCATTGGGGTCCCGTGAGGATTTCCAGCCTCGGAAGCGGTCTGGAAGACCACCACGAATCCACTCCACAGCAGGGGCTTTCGTCGCACTTACAAAGAAGACTGTTGAGATTTGATGAGGCGTGCGTTGAGTCTCTAGATCGCTCTGGGTTGTGTTGACATTTTAAGTGAACTGTGACTTTAGGTGAATGAATGAGGTGACCTTCCATTTGTCCAAATCCTCTTTGACCTGAAAACGTTTGTAGTAGCTTCTGTGTATGATTCCTGGTGATTTTCTTCTGGCAGATTCTGTTATAAATGGCAGTACTTCTGTATTTCAGATTGCTTACAGCTGATAGAGCGAAGCACATCTGATTTTTTGTGTGTTGACCGAGTTCCTTGCCACTTTGCTGGATTTCTTTATGAATTCTCACAGCTTTCTTGTGGGCTCTTTGGGGTTTTCTGTGTATTAGGATCACATCACCTGCATGTGTCATTCCTCCCTAGGGGTCTGGATGCCTCCCCTTCTCCTAGCAGCCTGCTTGTGCGCCCCGGGGGCTTCCGGATGGTGGGGAGGAGCAGTGGGCTGCTCCCCAAATGCCGCTGGTGAGGGTGAGGACGTCCTCCCTTGTCCAGGTGGGGTGCTCCACCACCTGTGGAGCTTAGTCAGATGCCCTCCCAGCCCCTGTCGTGGGGACCACGTGGTGTGATGACATTGACTGATATTCTACTGCTTGTCCACCTGTAATCTTTGGGGTAAACCCCCCTGATGAAGCTGCACGGGGTTCTTAGTGGCTGGTTTTCAGTCAGTGGCCAAGCCTTTCCGCAGATGTGTAGTGGGCATGCTTGCACCTCAGCCCTTACCATCTGTGCTGGGCAGTGTGTGAGTGCTGGTCGCCAGCTGGCTTGGTCTTCATGTAGACCTTGCGGCAACCCCCCAGTCCCACAGTCCCAACCTGCGCTCCACACTCCAGCCCCCCATTCCCACCCCACCCTCCCAGCACTGCATTCCCGCCCCAGACTCCCAGTTCTGCTAGCTCACCCCAAACTCCTGGTCCCACATTCCTGCCCTGCACTCCTACCCCACTGCACTCCCACCCCTCACTCCCCGCCCTGCATAACTACGGGGGCTGCAATCTCAGCCCTGTGAAGAGCTGGCAGCTGGTGAGGTCCGGGCACACTGGGCTAGGAGGCAGACGTAACGGCCGTCCAGACGAGATCCCGGATCTCTCCAGGCCTCAGTCTCCTTGTCAAGAAAGTGAGTGTCCTGCTTGCTTGAGCAGCACATGCACTGAGGTTGGAATGATACCGAGATCAGCATGGCCCGTACACAGAGATGACACGTAAATTCATGAAGCGATCCGTGACAAGAAAGATGACAGTGAGGGACCCTGCGTGGTGGCCACCGTGAGGCTGCTGCCTGTGCCGGGCCCAGGACGGGCTTCTGCAGAGGATGTGCTTCACCCTTGTCCCCTCACTGTCATCACAACCGCAGATCGCGCCTGACTCCAGCGGGCGGGCAGCGTCCGGGCCATGTTGGGCACCTGCCCAGGAGGCCTTTCAAGGGAGCCCCTGAAGCTCACAGCCCACCCCTCTGCAGTCAGAGGCCCTCGGGGAGGAGGGGACACCCAGGATGGATTTAGAAGTCGGAGCTGGTGGCCTGGAAGGCCAGTCCCAGGATGGGGCGGAGGGTGAGAAGCTGTGCATCCCAATGAACCGAGGCCACAATGGACACTGTGTGCAGAAGGAGGTCAGCCTGGGCCACACGGGGAGCAGGCGCAGGGGCTGAAGCCCAAGGTCTGTGTGGTGATCGGAGGGGACGTCTTTGGGGAGAGCCCACCTGCACACAGCCACACAGCCTCAGCCCGCTGCCCCTGTGGACCAGCGCAGTGACCCCGGGAGCATGGCCTATAGGGTCTCTGGGCGGCAGCCATTACAAAATCCCCTCGGCCGTCCTTCCCTGGCCGCAGCTGCTGGGCCTTGCACCACCCGCCCCCTTGGTTGGCTGCGAGGTACTTAAATGCGGGTCCACTGGAACCACAGCCCAGCTGGTCCGTGCTTCCCAGGCCCACGGAGTGTCTGGTGGCTACGGAATGGCCGTCAGTTGTAGCTGCACGTTGTAAAGAGGGGAGACTTCAGAGGGTGCCCACTGTTAGCTGCTGTTGTGGTGACCCTTGTGCATCACAAGATCGTAGGCCTCTCAGGACAGGGCTCTGGGCACTAGAGCACCAGCCCTTTGTTCCGACGTGCCTCCGGAACCTTCGACCTTCCCGTTAGTGGCCCAGCTCGGTCACTGTGGAGAGAATCCCTCTCCTCATCTTCACACCTGCCTTCCGGGTGCCGCATGGTGTCCCTTCCCCCGGGGCCTTTCCTAGGAGAGGCTGCCCAGGTGAGGGTCTGACCACGGCTCCGCTGTCCCCTCACAGGCCATCAGCATCAGCAAAGCCATCAATACCCAGGAGGCACCTGTGAAGGAGAAGCATGCCCGGCGTATCCTTCAAGGCTGTTGGGGGTGACGGGAAGGTGGGCCCCAGGACCCAGTCAGCTGGCCGTGGGGAAGGTGTCCGCGGGAGCCCTGGGGAAATGCACGCCCTTGTCCTTTTTCACCCATGGGTGACAGCCCTAGGCTCTGGGACAGGCAATGGCCTGTGAGGAGCCTTGCCCAGTGCTCTGTGGACCTTGACCCCGCAGGCATCATCTTGGGCACCCATCACGAGAAGGGGGCCTTCACCTTCTGGTCCTACGCCATCGGCCTGCCACTTCCCAGCAGCGCTATCCTCAGCTGGAAACTGTGCCATGTGCTCCACAAGGTCCTTCGAGACGGGCACCCCAACGTGAGTGAGCAGGGTGGAGGGAGAGTCGGGGGGCGGAGACACCCCACCCCTGGGTCTGCACCCCAACGTGAGTGAGCAGAGCATGGAGGGTCGGTGGTGGAGACACCCCATCCCTGGGTCTGCACCCCAGCGTGCTGTCTCCAGCCTGCGGGTGTCCCCTGCTCCCCTCTACCAGCCGCTGTGGGCTCAGGGATCTTGACTCGTGTCCCCTCCCCGCTGCACTCCAGGTTCTGCATGACTGCCAGCGGTACCGGAGCAACATCCGGGAGATCGGGGAGCTGTGGGTAGGTGCCAGGAGTGGGCAGTGGGGCCAGCACTGGACAGGGGCCAGCAGGCAGATGTCCATCAGGGAACTCTCGGGAAGTGGGAGCTGTGTGAGCGTGTGGACTCCCGAGGCACCCAGGGGCCAGGGTCTTCTGTTTGGGGTGACTTGGGGTGCCTGTCAGTGGATGTGGGCCTCAGACTCCCGAGATTACTAGGCCTGTGGTGCTCTTGTCTGTGGAAGTGGAGTCCTCAGGGTGGGCATCACTCCTGAGGCCACAGCTCCACATGCCCGTGCCTTGCTCAGGACCCACGGCTGGACCAGGGTGTGTGTGCATGGTGCCTTTCTCAAGTCTTGGGGAGCCTGATGTCTGGGTCCCCCAGAACTCTCACACTTGGTGGGAGGGAGGGGGCTGCCAGCCCTGCTTCTCTCTGGAGTCCTGCTGGGGTGGGGCCACGGGGCCCCCTGAACACAGGAAGGAGGGGGAGCAGCATGCACAGGGTGGGAGGCATCGGGGAAGGCAGCTGTCCGAATGTGTCTCCATCGCCTCCTGCCCCCCGTCCCCTATCTGTCAGAAGGCAAGGCTGGGAACCAAGCACCCCCAGCTGAAGACCGTCGCCTGGGCTTGCAGAGAGAGAATGGGGAGCTGGGCACTCCATCCGCAGAGACCCCAGCACCAGGCGGAGCAGCCCAGGGCTGGGGACCCTCATGGTGCTCTGGGAGGCGGCTAAATACCTGAGCTCTAAGCTGGGAGGTGGGCGGCTTGAATCCACTCAGGCACCTCAGAGGACAGGCCTGGCCGACCTGCAGCCCTGACAACCCCAGTCCGACCACCCAGTGGCCGCCGATCTGGCGCTTGGATTTTGTAGGACAATTATCGTGGGGACCCTGGGGACACAGTGGTCAGAGTGCTCAGCTGCGAACCTGAAGGTTGGCAGTTTAAACCCACCTGCTGCTTTGTGCGAGGGTGAAGAAGCACCGGCTTCTGTAAAGCTTTAGAAGCCAGTGGGCAGGTCCTGCGGGGTCTCTGCGAGGACAGCGGGTGTGGGGTTTGTATGTAAAGGAGATGGTGGAGGTGGACGTTTTGGAATTCTCAGACCTGAAATTTGAACACTGAACAAAGATGTCGCTCTGAAGATGAAGGCGCCCCAGCTCAGGACTTGGCATTTCCCTGGACCTCACACGTGTGTGTAAGCTGGACACGGGGTACGAAGCTCAGAGAACAAGTGCCTTCGAACTGCCGTCTGGCAAAGACTGTGGACTAGCCCACACATGGCCGAGGGCCGGACTGGCCGCTTGGAAGAGGGGCAGCCAGGGTCTCCTTAGAAGCGGGGGGGACTGCTCTCCTGTCCTGTGAGCCTGTTGTCAGGAGGGTCAGCACCTCTGTGGGAGCAGCGTGCTTGGCCAGGAAGGACCCCTTCACCCTGCAGCCGTGGGCTTAAGCACAGTGGAGGTGCTGAGGGGCACAGGACCCGGCAGGGTGTTGTCCTGTGGTCCGTGGGAGCCAGCTTGCCACCCCTGAGAGCAACATCCCAGGGCTCTGGGGGGAAACGCGAGGGAGCAGAGACGGAAATGCTGCGGACGGTGCTGGGCACAAAAAGCACTGCATGGTGACACCCAGCAATGGAGACCAGTGGCGAGGCAGCATCACTGGTGCGGGATCTCGGCAGGGAACGAGAAGGCCCCGCGGGCTTAGCTGTTTACTGAGGGAGGAGTGAATGAACGGCACAGCGGTTCTCGTATTGTCCCGACGTAGTCTCCCCCTTCGTCCTTACTGGACCCTTGCTGTCCCCTCAGGGACACCTGCATGACCGCTACGGACAGCTGGTGAACATTTACACCAAACTTCTGCTGACCAAAATCTCCTTCCACCTCAAGGTCAGTCCCTGTGGGAGGGACGGCAGGGAGGGACCCTCGGGGTGTCTGTCTGTCAACCCTGCGATGGGTCAGTCTGTCCACCAGGAGCAGCACCTGCCCAGTCCGCTCTTGACCAAGCAGACAGCAGGGGCCTGGGCGCTTATCCTCTCAGTGTCCTGCCCTCCTGACAGCACAGGGCCCTTGTCCCAGAGCAGGTGGCACCTCTCACATCTCAGGCCAGCTCTTGGGGGACAAATGGCATTCTCTCTGCAGCACCCCCAGTTTCCTGCAGGCCTAGAGGTGACGGACGAGGTGCTGGAGAAGGCAGCAGGGACTGACGTCAACAACATGTGAGTCAGGAGTGCGCAGCCCCAGGGGTGGACTTGGGGGCTGGCCTGACGGGACAGCAGCCTCACGGTCCCCGGCTCCAGTCTCTGAGGCCGTAGCCCCGCTGGCTGGGTACCGACCGGGTTCTGTGGCATCCTCACCCCACTTCCCTGCCTGCCTGTCCGCTCAGGGTGGGTGTGGCATCGGTGCTTGTGGTGGAAGGGGGACTGGGTGCAGGGCCGTTTCTTCTCCTGGGGGTCGGGGTGCACCGCCTTGATGCCTCCTCACCCCACCAGCTTCCAGCTCACCGTGGAGATGTTCGACTACATGGACTGTGAGCTGAAACTCTCCGAGTCAGGTGAGTCTCGGACACTGCTCCCCAGGATGCTCAGGACAGGGCTGGCCTTCCCTCGAGGGGCACTGCTCTGTCAGCCCCACGACGGCTGGGGTGCAGGGCCCAGAGCTGTCTCGTCCGCCTGGCCTGCTGGCTTCCTTTGCTGTCTGAGTCCAGAGCAGAGGTGGCAGCTGACTGCCTTCCCTCCCGCCATGGGTCCACTCAGAGGCCTTAGGGGCAGCGGAGGCTGAGCCCCCCACTCCGTCCTGACCGTGCCTCGGGGGCACAGCTTTCACGGGGCATGTTTTGCCCCTCCCACCCAGGGATGGGGTGCCAGCTCTATCCTGGGGGCCAAGGGGGGCTTGAAGCCTGGCCTAGAGCCTTGCTGGATAGGCCCCCGTGCCCAACAGCCACCACCACACACCGGCCTCACCCCCCAACTTCTCCCCGCAGTTTTCCGGCAGCTCAATACGGCCATTGCCGTGTCCCAGATGTCCTCGGGCCAGTGTCGCCTGGCCCCGCTCATCCAGGTCATCCAGGACTGCAGCCACCTCTACCACTACACGGTCAAGCTCATGTTCAAGCTGCACTCCTGTGAGTCTGCGGCCTCGTGCTCGGCCGTCCTGAGGGCGCCTGAAAGACTTATTAAAGGGCTGCCTCACACTCGTCCAGCGGGTGGCACGTGTCTAATGAAAAGTCACCACATTTTCACAGATATGCGTGCACAGTGGTTAAGGGCCCCACTGTGGCAGGGGTCCCCTTCTCGGGGGTTTGAGGCCTGGAGGTGGGAGGGTCCAGTCTTGGGGTCTCTCTGGTGTGCACAGGTCTCCCCGCGGACACCCTGCAAGGACACCGGGACCGGTTCCATGAGCAGTTCCACAGGTGCGGTGGGCGGGAGGGGGCAGGGGCTGCAGGCACACGGGGTCACGGCTGTCACTGACCCCGGATGACCCCCGCAGCCTCAGGAACTTCTTCCGACGAGCCTCCGACATGATCTACTTCAAGCGCCTCATCCAGATCCCCCGGCTCCCCGAGGTACCTCTCTGCCCTGGGGGGGCCCCCACACTGGCTCACAGGACCCCAGGGCCCAGCGGCTGAGCGTCTCCACCCTACAGGGTCCCCCTAACTTCCTCCGGGCCTCAGCGCTGGCGGAGCACATCAAGCCAGTGGTGGTGATCCCCGAGGAAGCCCCCGAGGACGAGGACCTCATTGAGATCAGCACAGGACCCCCCGCCAAGGAACCCGGGGTGCGCCCCCCCGTCCCCCCACAAGGCTGGTCTGCATCCCCCTCGGCACCAGTGGGCAGGTTGTCACTGTGCTCTGATGTGGCAGGTGGTGACTGACCTCTTCGAGCAAACGTTTGGACCCCCCAATGGCTCAGTGAAAGATGACAGGTGAGGCCTGGGGGGAGGGGAGGGGACCACCAGTGACCCCGGTGGAGGCTGACAGGTGAGGCCTGGGGGAGGGGGGTGTGTCACGGATCATCATGGACCCCGGTGAGGGCTGACAGGTGGATGGAGGGCCTCTGAGCTTTTGGCGGGACATTTCCATCTGGAAAGACCACAGACTGGACAGAGGCGCACACACAGCTGGTTCCATCCCTAAGACCTCGTGCCCCTGCCTGCCCCCTCCGTAGGGACCTGCAGATCGAGAGCTTGAAGAGGGAGGTGGAGGTGCTCCGGGCGGAACTGGAGAAGATGAAGCTGGAGGTGAGAGGTGAGCTGGGTGTGCGCGGAGGCTTTGGGGACAGTGGCCGCAGGCCCAGCCTCGTCCTTCCCGTCCCAGGCCCAGCGGTACATCGCTCAGCTCAAGGGGCAGGTGAACGCGCTGGAGGCGGAGCTGGAGGAGCAGCGGAAGCAGAAGCAGAAGGCCCTGGTGGACAACGAGCAGCTGCGGCACGAGCTGGTCCAGCTGAGGGCCGCACAGCTGGAGGGCGAGCGCAACCAGGGGCTGCGTGAAGAAGCAGAGAGTGCGTGCGGGGTGGGTGCGGAGGAGGGGGCGCCTGGGGGCCGGGGCTGCCCAGTCACAGCCTCCCCTCCGCAGAGAAGGCCAGTGCCACCGAGGCACGCTACAGCAAGCTGAAGGAGAAGCACAGCGAGCTCGTCAACATCCACGCCGAGCTGCTCCGCAAGGTGGGTGCCCAGCCCAGCAGGGTGCAGGGTCCCCCTGAGGTGGAGGGGCGGCTGCAGGACAGTGAGCGCGCCCCTCCCCGGTGCCCAGAACGCAGACACAGCCAAGCAGCTGACGGTGACACAGCAGAGCCAGGAGGAGGTGGCGCGGGTGAAGGAGCAGCTGGCCTTCCAGATGGAGCAGGCCCGGCGAGAATCTGAGATGAAGGTGCGTGTGGACGGGTGGACACTGTCCCAGCCCCCTCCCAGTGCCGGCCTCTGACACGCTGTCCCTGCTGCCCCGTCCCAGCTAGAGGAGCAGAGTGACCAGCTGGAGAAGCTGACCAGGGAGCTGGAGGCCAAGGCCGGGGAGCTGGTGCGTGCCCAGGAGGCCCTGAGCCGCACGGAGCAGGTGAGCTGGTCTGTGCCCTCGCCCGTGGGCTGGCCCACACCGCACAGGCCACAGGGTTTGGCCGTCGGGCAGAGCTGTGTAGGGAGTCCCCGCCCCCGCAGGTTCTGGGGGGAGGTGAGAGGTGAACTAGCGGGGCAGGCAGGCTCCGGGCCCACCCCGCGCCCTCCACGTTCACAGAGTGGCTCGGAGCTGAGCACGCAGCTGGCCGCACTGAGTGCAGAGAAGGACACGCTGAGCAGTGCTGTGCGGCAGCGTGAGGCCGACCTGCTGGCCGCCCAGGACCTGGTGCGCGACAAGGAGGCGGAGCTGAGCCAGGAGCGGCAGCGCGGCTCCCGGGAGAGGGACGAGCTGCAGGGCCGGCTGGCCGAGAAGGTAACGGGCCGGGGGGTCACGGGGCCAGGAGGGGACAGCAGTGGTTGAGGACACGGTCACCCAGGGAATTCAGGCTGCCGTGTGCTGGCCCCGGGGCCCGGCTTCCCTGTTAGAGGCCGATTGTGGGTGATGTTGTTCTGTATGCGGGGGAGTGTGCTGGGGGCTGAAGTCCAGCTGTCAGAGGCCTCAAGTACCATGCGGATGACCAGACCTTGGGAGCGCAGTGAACTGAGGGGTGCCAGTACACCCCACTCACGTAGTGGACCCAGGCTCAGCGCGTTTCCACGGTGCTGGCACATGTGGCAGCTGCTCTCTGGTGGACCTCTCCCTACCTGGTCGCTGGTCAGCAGACATCCAGGTGCTTGTCGCTGTGGTGCAGGGGCTGTGGCCACTCCATTCCCACCAGCGAGGAGTGGGTTCTAGCCGAGCCACGGCCTTGTCAACACCAGCTGTCCCCACACAAGCCTCAAGCACGACTTGCTGCCTCTCACTCCTAGTGACCCATGTGCACCAACACACCGCAGCCAGGGTCCCAGGACGTCCACTTGGGGCCCTCGCCCACCATACCCTCCTCCAGGCTCCTTCCTGGTTCTGGCCACCAGGGCCCTCGGGAACGGCGCCTGGTCAAATCACTAACCTTGGATTTGGGCTTTGGCTGCTTGTCCTTAACCCTCCTGGAGACCACCCAGACCTCGTGTGGGCTAGCGGGTGCTCGTGGGAGACCAGCCAATCACTGACCCATGGCCTGGCTTCCCTCCTGTGGCTGCTGTCCCATGGAGGATTCCGTGGAGGGACACACGGGGCCAGGTTCTGTGGTGGACATAGATTAACCTTCTGGTCGGTTGCCGGGGCCACAGGAACTGCTGTGTCCACAGAGAGTGGCAGGCTGTCCTGTCCCTCCAGCCTTCGCGGCCACTGTCGCTGGGCTCCTGGCCCCTAAGGCCTGGCTGGTGGGTGTGCTGGTCAGGGGACGTGCTCTCAGGCCTCATTTCCAGTTGGCGTCGTCTTTCATGGAGCTGTTCACCCCTTTGAGCACGGGAAACGAGGTGTCCTCGTGGGCTGCTGGCGGTGCCCCCATGTCTGAGGTGCCCTCCTGTCCCTCACTGGCCAGGAGTCTCAGGAACAGAGGCTGCAGCAGAGGCTGCTGGACAAGCAGTTTGCAGTGCTGCAGGGCGCGGTGGCCGAGGCTGAGGCCATCCTGCGTGACGCCGTGGGCAAGCTGGACGACCCCCTGCACCTGCGCTGCACCAGCTCCCCAGGTAGGACCCCGGCCCCGACAAGCCTGCATCCCGCTGAGCGACCCCCCTCCACCTGCCTCACCTCCTGTGTTCACAGACTACCTGGTGAGTCGCGCGCAGGCCGCCCTGGATGCCGTGGGCACCCTGGAGAGCGGGCATGCCCAGTACGTGGCCTCTATGGAGGGTGAGTGCAGAGCCGCCGGAAGGTGGGGACAGTCTGGACTCGGAGCCAACTGTCCACACTGTGGAAGGCTTCGACCCCCTTGGTATCTCTGTCACCTCCTCTCGGGGCAGTGCTGACTTTCTGTGTCCCCCAGATGCCTCTGCCCTGGTGGCCGCCCTGACCCGCTTCTCGCACCTGGCTGCAGACACCATCATCAACGGCAGTGCCACCTCACACCTGGCCCCCACTGACCACGCCGACCGTGAGTCCTGCTCCCGGACCCCCAGTGCGGGCTCTCGGTCAGGCTCTCCGGCTCCCCCTCACGGTCCTCTCCCCTAGGCCTGACGGACATGTGCCGAGAGTGTGGGGCGCGGGGCCTGGAGCTGGTGGGGTGTCTGCAGAACCGGCAGGACCTGCCACAGGCCCAGCCTGGCCTGGTGCGGACTCCCCTTCAGACCATCCTTCAGCTGGGCCAGGTGAGTGGGGCCTAGGGGCTGGGTCAGGCCTTGGGGTTCAGGGACTGAACACCCCACCCCGCCTGCAGGAGCTGAAGCCCAAGAGCCTGGACGTGCGTCAGGAGGAGCTCGGGGCCGTGGTGGACAAAGAGATGGCTGCCACATCAGCGGCCATCGAGGACGCCGTGCGGAGAATTGAGGTGAGGATGAAGTGAGGGGTGAATGGGGGTGTGCGTTGGCCCCACGTCAGCGCCCCGCTCACCTGCTCTGTTGGGTCTAGGACATGATGAACCAGGCCCGGCAGGCCAGCTCTGGGGTGAAGCTGGAGGTGAATGAGAGGTAAGGCTGTCTCCAACCCACACGACAGGTGGCTTCCCTGTGGCCCTACCAACAAGGGGTACAGGGTGAGCCCCCTTCTCACCTCCTCTTCTCCCCCCAGGATCCTCAAGTCCTGCACAGACCTGATGAAGGTGAGTGTGGGCCGTGGGCCTGTGCCCTGGGGGTGCCCTGTGTGTGGCACCAGCGAGACATGCATATTGGTGTCTAGGCCATTCGGCTGCTGGTGACGACGTCCACCAGGCTGCAGAAGGAGATTGTGGAGAGCGGCAGGGTGAGTGGGGCCCTTGACCTGGCCCCGTATGCACAGAGGGGGATGCTGTGGGAGAAGGGGACACGTCTCAGCACACACACACACACCCAGGGGGGATATGGAACAGCAACACCCCTCAGCACAGACCTACACTCCTAGGGAAGCTGCAGGGAGAAGGGACTCCTGTACACACTCAGGTGTGCCCCTTCTCTAGCAGGGAGGCTGTGGAAGAAGGGGACCCGTCACCATGCACACAAACCCGAGAACCCCACAGACGTGCATCTCAGGGGCTCTAGAGAGGACACTCCCCAGGGATCACTGCAGGGAGAAGGGTCCACCCCATACACACCCCAGGAGACCCCCTCACCACACACAGGCAGACAAGGGCCTCTGCTCAGCACAGACATCCAGGCTCAGGTACACTGGCCCCTTCTACGCCCCCTGACGTGCACACACATCCCTGGGAACCTGGAAGGATGGGGTCTCCCTCACCTCCTTGATGTGCACACACGGCACCAGGGCAGCTGTAGGCAGAGGGGACCCCTTCAGTGCACACCCACCCACCCCGGGAAGCTGTGGAGCAAAGGGTGCCCACCTCACATACACCCCCGGGAGGCTGTGGGAAGGACCCTGTGTCCTGGTCTGAGCTGGCCAACCCTGTCCTCTCGCCACCAGGGGGCAGCCACACAGCAGGAATTTTACGCCAAGAACTCCCGCTGGACAGAGGGCCTCATCTCTGCCTCCAAGGCGGTGGGCTGGGGGGCCACTCAGCTGGTGTAAGTACCTGGGGCAGCTCTGGGGGTCCAGCCCCCTCTCAGCTGCTGAGAGTAGCTGGTGTGGGCACCGGGGGTCCCCAGGCAGGCCCTGCGCCCTGACTGTCCGCCCCCCAGGGAGTCCGCGGACAGGGTGGTGCTGCACACGGGCAAATACGAGGAGCTCATCGTCTGCTCACACGAGATCGCGGCCAGCACCGCCCAGCTGGTGGCAGCCTCCAAGGTGAGCAGGGGCCAGGGACCCCGCCCAGATGGGGAGCAGACCTGGGCGCCCTGACCACTGTCCTCCCCAGGTCAAGGCCGACAAGCACAGCCGCCACCTGAGTCAGCTGCAGGAATGCTCGCGCTCGGTCAACGAGATGGCCGCCAACGTGGTGGCCTCCACCAAGTCTGGCCAGGAGCAGATCGAGGACAGAGGCGAGTGCCGGGCGGGGTGGGGGCGCGGCGGGCCCGGACAGCGGCGCTGACCCTCACCCACTCTCCTGTGTGACAGACACCATGGACTTCTCGGGCCTGTCCCTCATCAAGCTCAAGAAGCAGGAGATGGAGTCCCAGGTGGGTGCCCACTGCAGACCCCTGGGCGGTCCCTGGTCCCCCTGGGTGGTCCCCCTGGGCCATGCTGAGAGGAGCCCCCGCAGGTGCGTGTGCTGGAGCTGGAGACAAGGCTGGAGGCCGAGCGCGTGCGCCTGGGGGAGCTGCGTAAACAGCACTACGTGCTCGCCGGCGGTGTGGGGACCCCTGGCCAGGAGGAGCCTGCCAGGCCCATTGCTGCCCCCCGCAGCGGGGCCTCCAAGAAGCCCCCCTTGGCCCAGAAACCCAGCGTGGCCCCCCGGCAGGACCACCAGCGGGGTGGGGGCACACAGCTTCCTGGCGCCACTGAGACCCCGTCTGCCCTGCAGCTTGACAAAAAAGACGGGGTCTACCCAGCTCAGCTCGTCAACTACTGATGCCAGAGCCACGGGCAGTGGGGGCCACGGCCTGGCCTCTGGCAGCAGGACCCAGGAGCCCTTGCTCTGTAGTCGAGGGTCTGAGGGCAGCAGGGCCCTCTTCTGTCTGGCGAGTCCTCTCTGGGTCCCTCTCCTGTCTCCTGGGGCAGTGTCCCCTCCCTCAGCTCGACAGGGTCCCCACCGCTCCAGGAGCAGAAGGAGTGACAGTGCTTGTGTGTGACGGAGAGGCTGGGGCCCTTCCTGCTTCTCTCCGGATCCTACAGTTACTACAGTGAGGGCCGTCACCATGCAGAGAGTGGGGGACATTAAGCTGCGCAGACACACAGGGTGGAGGGGAAAGAAAGGGTGGAAATAAAATTCCATGCAAACAGGAACCAAAGTGGAGGTGTGGTTTACTGTCAGAACAGTCTCTTAAGTCTCCAAGACCTTGAAAGATACCTGGTCCAGACCATCTCCGCCCCCACAAGGCCAGCCTCGCACTGTCCGGGGCATGTATGGTGGTGTGCTGCCACCAGGCCACTGTCACGGAGCATGACAAAAAGGTTCAAAAGGCCACAGGACGAAAGCATGTGTGTAGTTGGAAAACCAGCACCAACACCTACACACACTCACTCTCTGACCGCTGTGAGGGTGACGGGCAGCTGGCTCAGTCACAGTGTGACAGAACAGCCCTGCCCGGCCTCACACACACGGACCTTGCTAGGGTGACGAGCTGGCTGTGGTGAGTGTAGCAGAGAACACAGCCCTGCCCGGCCCCTACACTCAGCATCTGTCGTGCTGAAGCCCCTCAACGTTAGGATGTCAGTACCACCCTCACAATCCAGCCGCACCTGAGAACCCCAGGCAACCCCCAACAGCCTCGTGGAACCAGAACTGGCACTTGTCCCTAAATACAGCAGTCTCAGATGAGGAGAGAAAGACCACGGTCACAGAGGACTCACCTTGTCCACCCTCAAAGCACAGTCCGAAGCTGCAGTGTGAACGGGACGGTGGGAACAGCCAGAGCAGGAGAGAACTCAGCCCGGAGTGTTGTGTGCTCATCCACTGAGGACAGACGACTGCAAACATTTGCTAACAGTGGTTAATGTGGGAACCTGACAGACAGTATTCATGTCTCCAAGCCCCGTGTCAAAATTGCAAATACTGAATCCGGGGTGGCGGCATGTGCTACCAACCTGGACCCGAATTGTAACTGACCCTCAGATGGGTTTGCAGTAAATTGCTCAGGAGATGGCCCATCATTCCCCCACAGAGCAGTTGGTGGGTTCAAACCCCGAGCCTTTGGGATTATAATCCAGCTTCTTACCACACGGCCACCAGAGCTCCAGGGGGTGGTGTGAGGCACTGGCCTGTTCTGCCGATTAGCCCAGTGCTGCTGTCAGTGCACCCCGTCCTGTGTGGTTAGGTGCTGTCGTGTACGGCTCACAGCGGCCCTGTGACCGGATCTGAACCCTGCCCTGTGCCATCCTCAGGACCTCTGACACACCAAGCCCACTACTGAAGTGACTGTGTCAGCCCCCTGGGTTGAGGGTCTTCCTCCTCAGCTGACCCTCCACCTTTCCACGTGTGACGTCCCTCCCCTGGGAATAGCCTCTCAGCCACATACCCAAGGTTTGTGAGCTGAAGCTTCGCCATCTTTGCCTCCAGGGAGCCCCTGGCTGCACTTTCACCGAGACACATTTGTTCTTCGGCTTTCGTGGCTTGGTCAGCGCTCTTCTCCAACACCCCTGTTCAATGGCATCAGTCCTTCTGTCATCCTGACTCATTGTCCAGCTCTCAGATGCACAGCAAGTGATTGGAAAGACCATTGCCTCAATCAGGTGCTCCTTAGTCCATTGCTCAGAAGTCATTTGGAAGGGAGCTCTGGTGGCCTAGTGGCAGGAAGCTGCACTGCAGTCCCAGAGGTGCACAGTTCAAATCCACCAGATGCTCTGCTGGAGAAGGAGGGGCGATCTCCTCCTGTGTCAGTCAGATCTGATCTGATGGTACACACACACGTAATTTGGAGAGGTCCTGACTAGACTTCCCCATGCACGTCTCCCGATCGCCTGATTGCTGGTACCAAGCGTGTTGACTGTGGTTTCCCAGAGTGCCAAACCCCTGGGTCTCCCCAAGGAGAGCTGGCCGCCTTTATATCCTGTGCCCTCCCCCCCGTCACTCACATTTGAGCAGATGATGCGGCCGGGGGTGGGGGTGTCCTCACCAGCCACATTGTCCTGGTGGGTCCTCCAGGTCACCTGCAGTCACGTCCCTGACTCCAGGTGGGGCAGTGCTGATACCTTTCAAGGCAGAGACAGAAGGACCAGGGTCTGGTTCACGGTGCCCAGGGGAAAGAGCTTCAGAAAACTAGCTATTGACAAGAGAAGGCTCTTGACACCAAATAAAAATGCAGCCAAGGACAAGCCGCTGCAAAGGGGCCTCGGGACTGCTCCAGTTCCCAGGGGCCAGGCTGGACACCAGGCCCGAGCACCCCTCCTCCAATCTCAGTCATGTCCCTCCTGACCCCCGGGGTATAAGGACCACGGCCTCAAGAGGGGCCTACAGAACTCACGCTGCTGAAGACAGTGTCCTCACGGGGCCCTCACCGCGTGGACCACAGGCTTGACCACAGGTTTCCAAAGCTGTAAAATCAGGGGGCAGAGACTACTCACCTTTCTCCCGGAGCTGCTGGTGGATTTGAACAGGGAGAGTTAGCAGCACAGCCTCGTACATGACCTCTATTTAGTTACTAGTCTTTGGGTCAGCAGCCCACTCCCCGTGGACGGGCCCCCAGAGACCAGGGCTCTCCTAGCAGCACCAGGAAGAAGTCGGGCGCACACAAGAAAGTGAACCCCGTAAGGAAAAGCTCCGCTCTGAGCAGATCGGGCCCGTGTCACAACGGATGAACCTAGTACTCCCCACTTCACTGAAATGCTGAGGGACACTAGCCCAGGACCTAAAGCAGGGTGAACCCCCCACTTCCCAGCCGTATGGGAGAAGCCCCAGTGGGCTCAGGATGGTGGGTCTCACCTTCGAACACCTGTCAGCGGGTCCCCAAAGGCACAGAACAGAAAGGAAAAAGCAAGTGCCCGGTGAGCACGGGAGGCCCATCCTTCCACCATCCACAGCCCACGACGCAAGAGCCACCCCCATGTTACCAGGGACACACTCTCCACTGTCCAGTGACACGAAGGGAACTGGGAGGCCCCCAAAACCCCTCATGTCCCTCACACCCAGCCAGCTCGGCCTTCGCACACAGCCTGGTCCTGTCTGGGGAGAAGAGAACTGGCAGTAATGTCACACGATGATCTGAAATCGACGCCCCTGCTCAGGACACTTGGCCACGGCCGACCGCACGGTCGAGAGAGCACGGATCCACTGACCGCTTTAGATCACCTCTAAACACGATTTTAAAAGAATAACCAATCGCGCGTGCGTACACACACACACACAGAGGCCCCGGGATTCTACCATTTATTTGAAATAACCAGAGGACGTGGCAGCCAGTCTCCCCCGGCTGGTCGTACAGCACATGGTGATATCCTGAACACAGACGGGTCTGCACTCCTACACGGGATGCCCAAGACCCACCCAGGCTCAGGCCTGCGATGGGGCATGGACCGGCCAGGACGGATACGTCCAGTCTTGGGGCTGGAGCGCTGACCACTGCCGCCGCACAGCTGAGCACGGTAAGAGCCAGGCCGTGAGTGACCAGACGGTCAGGACTTCTCCTCGTCCACAGAAAGGTCCTGGGATTTCAGAGCACAGCTCTGGAAGTGGCCGTGGAGAGGTGGCCAGTCTGGGACTGTTAACAGTGTCACACACACGTCACATGTTTGGCGCTAGCACCGCTGCTAGCTGGGCACCTGGGCAGCAGCGGCCACGGAGGTAAGAGGAGTGAGTGGTGCCAGCTCTCGAGGGTTGGCACGCCAGTGGACTGTCCTGACAGTCGTGGAAGTCACAGCAGAGCCAAGGCCAGGAGCAGGACGAGGCGGCCGAGGGTGGAGGTTGGCAGCCCTGCACGGGGCACTCCTGAGCAGACACCTGACCGGGAAACGATGTCAGCCTGGACAGCAGCCAGCGAGGGAGAGGCCACTGGGGGCCTGGCGGTCGACAGGTGACAGGGTGAGGTGAGGTGTGGCACCCAGGCCTTCCTCCGTCACAGGTGTGTCGTGCTCCAGGACGGAACCTGGGGCCAGGCTTTCTCCAACAAAAGGCTTCTCAGAGTCTCAGCCGTGGCCAGGCCAGAGGCAGGACGTGCTCCATGTGGCGTGAGGGGACAGACCCTACTCCCCGAAGGCAGGCCACTGTGCTTGGGGACGTGGAGGGCGAGACCAGGGGGGCCTGCCAGCCCTGGAGCGGCAGCGCCCCGTCCTGGCCCGGTCCTGGCACCGGGTGGTGCTAAGGCACAGAGGGGCGGGTGGCGACCGCATGCTGAGGCCAGGGACGGCCGTGGCACCTCTTCATGGGCGTCTTGGTCAGCTCCCAACAGGACGCACGTCTTTATAAAGGTTCCCTGAATGGTCACCTGAGTGTCAAGAAGGTCTGTGTTTCTAATACAAAACAGGAGTTACACAAGGAGTAAAAACATCGGGGAGCACTTCAGGATGGGCTGCAGGGCAGCACGGAGGTGGCCTGCCAGGGTCGTGGGCCAGCAGCTAGCTGCTCCTTGCAGCTCAGGACATGGCGCCTGGCCAAGTGCAAGTCTGTAGTGGCCCCGAATCTCCTGTGGCAGCTGAGGTCCGGTGGGAGTGGACTGAAGGGCCCCGGCACTGTGCCTGCCCGTGGGCCATGTCCAGTCCGGCCGGCCCGCCTCAGGAGGGGAAGTGTGCCAGGGGCCGTTCTGGTCTGGGTGAGTAGAGGGTTTTTATGGACGCGTCTGACTTGGCAC